TGCAGAGCGAAGTGGGGTTACAGTGTAATATATGTGTGGGGTTACAGTATAAGTATGATCAGGACGTGCTTCAACAAGTGATTGTTGGATTATGTTTGCTTACAGTGTAACATGAGACGTGCTTCAACAAGTGATTGTTGGATTATGTTTGCAGAGCGAAGTGGGGTTACAGTGTAAGGTTACAGTATATATGATCAGGACGTGCTTCAACAAGTGATTGTTGGATTATGTTTGCAGAGCGAAGTGGGGTTACGAAGGTACAGTGTAAGTATGCCATGATCAGGACTGTGCTTACAATATAAGTATGATCATGACGTGCTTCAACAAGTGACTGTTGGATTATGTGCAGAAGCGAAGTGGGGGATGTGCCATTCATGTTTGCAGAGCGAAGTGGGGTTACAGTGTAAGTATGATCAGGACGTGCTTCAAAAATGACTGTTGGATTATGTTTGCAGAGCGAAGTGGGGTTCAGGACAGTCAACAAGATTCTTGGATTATGTTTGCAGAGCGAAGAAGGACATGCTTCAAAGTGAGTTGGATGTTTGCAGAGCGAAGTGGGGTTACAGTGTAACAAGCCATGATCAGGACTGTGGCTGTGGGGTTACAATATAAGTATGATCATGACGTGCTTCAACAAGGATTATGTATTGCCATGAGCAGAAGTGACTGTTGGGTTACAGGTTACAGTATATGACATGCATGATCAGGACATGCTTCAAAAGTGATGTTTTGTTGGATTATGTTTGCAGAGCGAAGTGGGGTTACAGTATATATTTGCCATGATCATGACGTGCTTCAACAAGTGATTCTTGGATTATGTTTGCAGAGCGAAGTGGGGTTACAGTGGAAGTATGCCATGATCAGGACTGTTGCTGTGGGGTTACAATATAAGTATGATCATGACGTGCTTGAACAAGTGAGTGTTGGATTATGTTTGCAGAGCGAAGTGGGGTTACAGTATATATGTGCCATGATCATGACGTGCTTCAACAAGTGACTGTTGGATTATGTTTGCAGAGCGAAGTGGGGTTACAGTGTAAGTATGATCAGGACATGCTTCAACAAGTGACTGTTGGATTGTGTTTGCAGAGCGAAGTGGGGATACAGAATATGTATGATCAGGACGTGCTTCAACAAGTGAGTGTTGGATTATGTTTGCAGAGCGAAGTGGGGTTACAGTATAAGTATGCTATGATCAGGACTGTGGCTGTGGGGTTACAATATAAGTATGATCATGACGTGCTTCAACAAGTGACTGTTTGATTATGTTTGCAGAGCGAAGTGGGGTTACAGTATATATGTGCCATGATCAGGACGTGCTTCAACAAGTGACCGTTGGATTATGTTTGCAGAGCGAAGTGGGGTTACAGTGTAAGTATGATCAGGACGTGCTTCAACAAGTGATTGTCGGATTGTGTTTGCTGAGCGAAGTGGGGTTACAGTATAAGTATGATCAGGATGTGCTTCAACCAATGGCTGTTGGATTATGTTTGCAGAGCGAAGTGGGGTTACAGTAAAAGTATGTTCAGGACGTGCTTCAACAAGTGACTGTTGGATTATGTTTGCAGAGCGAAGTGGGGTTACAGTATAAGTATGATCAGGATGTGCTTCAACCAATGGCTGTTGGATTATGTTTGCAGAGCGAAGTTGGGTTACAGTATAAGTATGATCAGGATGTGCTTCAACCAATGGCTGTTGGATTATGTTTGCAGAGCGAAGTTGGGTTACAGTATAAGTATGTTCATGACGTGCTTCAACAAGTGATTGTTGGATTATGTTTGCAGAGCGAAGTGGGGTTACAGTATAAGTATGCCATGATCAGGACGTGCTTCAAAAGTGATTGTTGGATTGTGTTTGCAGAACGAAGTGGATTTACAGCATAAGTATGATCAGGACGTACTTCAACAAGTGATTGTTGGATTATGTTTCCAGAGCGGAGTGGGGTTACAATATAAGTATGCCATGATCAGGACGTGCTTCAACAAGTGGCATGTTCCGCCCGACGTCTATAATCCGTCAGTGTCCATATACTAATCAGCAGCATTGTCAGTATTGCTTTTATAAAAATGACAATCGAACATGCGACCATATCACGAACTCATATTCTGCTTGACTGTGTGGACTTATCGTCTGCTAGGGCCCCACATTATGGAGCAACAAATCTGAAAGATCTGTTCTCCCGCGTGAGCGCTCATCTGATAGTGAACTACCTGAGGGAAGTTGATCTTGATCATAAATTGTAATTGTGTAATGTGACTAGCAAATTGCCTGCCTTTAAATTTAGTGCTATTACTTTTTCTGTTTTTAAATGACAATGAAATGAATATATGTTTTTGAAATAAAACTCATTTTGACTCTGTACTTACAATGTTAACTAATGCAGAATTGTTCTCGTCAGTATATATGGCTGGAATAATGCCGATGTGACGTAAAGCCCAACTCAACTCAACTCAACTCACGAACTCTGAGGGCATCCTTAGCATGTATAACGACCTTTTTGGAATACAGACTGGTCACTAATAGACACTTTTCCTGGTTATTATAAGGTAAGTCATGTTCACTTCATTCAGTGTATGTTCTTAAGTTATAGAACAAGTTTTATGGATAACAACTTCTTTATTTCGTGAGTGCGACGTTTCGATACAGATTCTTGTACCGTTGTCAAGCAAGAGTGATACATGAAGTGTAGGCGCTGCATATATATACTGTATATAATAATGAAACAACATAATAGACAAAGGAAACAACATAATTGCCATGATTGGCTAAGCAGTAAGCTGAAGAAGCCAGTGAGTACACAAAGGATAGTGAATGGAAGCCAGAGATGTAGTTACAATGAGATGTTTAAACAATAGATGCGATGTTTATACAATAGATTGGGCTTGGTGGAGGAGTGGATCAGTGTATAAACATCGCATCTATTGTTTAAACATCTCATTGTAACTACATCTCTGGCTTCCATTCACTATCCTTTGTGTACTCACTGGCTTCTTCAGCTTACTGCTTAGCCAATCATGGCAATTATGTTGTTTCCTTTGTCTATTATGTTGTTTCATTGTTATATACAGTATATATATGCAGCGCCTACACTTCATGTATCACTCTTGCTTGACAACGGTACAAGAATCTGTATCGAAACGTCGCACTCACGAAATAAAGAAGTTGTTATCCATAAAACTTGTTCTATATTGTACGTCTCAACTTCTAAAATGCCACTCAAACAAGTTGTTCTTAAGTTGTTTTCATATTTTCTTTGTTTCTATTGCATTCCATATTGTTAGTTAATTCCTGTTTAATCAACATTGTAAATTACGCAGTACTGATTAAGTACACCAGTCAAATAATTCTGGCTACTCTCGATCAATCAATGTTTAAACACTGTACATATTATGCGAGGTAACTGAACTGTATACGCAAAAGCAGAAAGCACACATCGCACTTGCTGTTTAATTCAGTTGCTCACAAATTGCCAAGAGACGTGGGTTGAAGAGGCATACTTATTTCCGATAGAATGAGTTGACGTGGAGGCACAGACACATTAATACTATTTAAAACAAACTATTTATTTCAATTAAAAACAACCCAGCACATACTTCTCATCAAAAGTTTAGACTCACTAGTGTAAATATAGCCACTTACTTCAGGCAACTGTTTAAGCTACATTTTGCAAAATGCTCCATACTGTTTAAAGGTACTGTTTACACATGAACCGGTGTATTGTAAAACAAATTCGTAACGTTGAAAAGATTATTGTTATGACTTCAGTAAATGATGAAAATCAGTGAAAAATGGCAAATTCTTAACAAAACTTTACACCACAAAGCAGCTGTTCACATGCACGATATTTGCATGTTTTTCATCAATTTGATGCTTGATCCTCGTGCAATCCACCTGCATAATGTTTGTAGTTGGTTCCCCCAAGGTAGTGGAGGAATCAATCTTCGATGTAACCATATATATATATACATAACATATAGTGAGTGTTTTAAGTGAGTCTAAACTTTTGTAGAGAAGTATACAATATATAACTAAAAGACTGTCGTTTAGTTACATATTGTTAACGGGCATGTCGGACAGCAATGAACATTGTATGAGTTCAATATCAGGAAGTTTCCTACAAGCCATGGGATGTTAGACTGAGTCTAAATGTGTCACAATACAACAAGAAATTGATGACAATTACATTGTGGCACAGGATGCCTGGTAATATACAATGTAATGGTATGAGAGGCTAACAACGGAAATTATCGTCACATAAGTTATCCAAGTGAGAGATGGAGATATATGGCATCACAGTACGTAGCCTTTGAAATTGACAGAACATTCGGACCATGTTAAACATTGTTCAGAACACGACATTGATATCTCATTTGTCTTCTTTGTGAGGCATTTAGCAGTTGGAGCACTAAGGAAGGATAACAATAAAGGATGACTTGCTTGATAGCGGTGTTAGTAACTACACCGAAACGTTGCTCTAACTGTAAAGAAGTTGTTCATCCATATATTGCTATCCTTCCTGATATGTCATGGTTACATGAGGATTATTAGTCCCGACTCAACTTTACTCAGTGTTTAGTGTCACGGGACAATCGACAAAAGGTATCCCTCCCAACTGATGAGTGAGTTTAGTTTTACGCCGCACTCAGCAATATTCCACCTATATGGTAGCGGTCTGTAAATAATCGAGTCTGGACCAGACAATCCAGTGATTAACAGCACGAGCATCGATCTGCGCATTTGGGAACCGATGACATGTGTCAACCAAGTCAGCGAGCCTGACCACCCGATCCCGTTAGTCTCTTACTTAAGATCAATATCCTAACCCGGACCTTCACGGGTCCCCATCTGATGCTATCTGAGGAAACATCTGTACGCCCGATCCTTATCGGAACATCGCAATATTTCATTAAGCTACATGCTATCATAAGACAGGACCACACGTAGTTCCTAACGGAGTGCATTACCATAAAACGAAATGCACTCTTGTATTTTCAGAATGTTGTGACGGTGGAATGTCTCCAGGTCTGTCTCCATTCGCAAATCAAGTCGATGTGAATAAGCTGGAAAGCAGATATGAAGGTTACGACATAATTCAGATACAACAGCTCAAGTAGAAGCCCCGGTAACTGTAAATGCAGCTGTTTTGCACATATATAGTGTTGCAACTGTAGTTTTCAATATTATGTAAATATCACGATTTCTAAGAGGAGGATGGGTGGTAGAACCGTTTCCGGCATATATTATGTAGACTTGGTAATACACTACAAACGCAAAATATGGGAACATCCTAAAACTTGATAGTCATATATAAACTGAAACGTGGTGAGGTCATTTATACTCTTAGGTAAATGCAACTATTTGTGTGCTTAATAGGCGCTTTAAACGACATGTTGGAACATGCAGTGAGCAATTGATTCAATATTCGTTGAGTTTGAGTGAAATGAAACATTGTTAAAAACAGCGAAAAACAAGGATGCTGAAACACACCAGCACCATGTGTGATTCAAACTCCCAAACACAACAGCCTAGAGCTTGTGGAAGACAGACTTCCCATGCAGCTTGTGGCAAATGGGCACAGGCAGTTGTGAATCCGAAGGGCTTGGCCCATAACATATCGGTCATCTGCCCATATTCCAGAGCGAGGTCTGTCCTTTACTCCACCAGTGGCCTGGAACCTCTCCCTCAGTCTGTGCATGACACCTGAAGACGGAGAACAACACTTCTTATGGATTCACCATCCTGTAACCATGCAATGGTCCTGTTGCGGGCGCTTAACTGTTTGCACTGTGGCATGGTGAAGAAGTTTTGAGGCGTCCATGCTGTCTGTAGCCTCTTTTAAAGGAAACGTTGCCACAAGCTGCGTGGGAATTCTGTCTTTCACATGCACTAGGCTGTTAATTTCCAGCAAATGAATGAGCCAAGGGACACCAAAGCATAACTGGAATAAAGTGACTGTGCATTATTTGATGTTATGCCATTTCTAATGCAAAAGATTAGATAAGATTATATGATTTGTAGTGCTTTCCTTAATCACTGATTAACTGTTGACTTTTTTATGCTGTATGCTTATTGTTATCAGCGGTTCAGTTGAACGAAACCCCGGCCCAGACACCAGATCCACTGAGGCGTCAAAAAAGAATTCACTATCACAAACCAAGCTACCAAGTTACAATCAAGAAAAGGGAGGCAACTCAGGGGCGCTAAGTATAGCTGACATTCTTGTCCCTCTCCAACGTATGGAGGATAAATTTGACCGCATTAGTGTTAGCATCCGGTCTGATGTCAACAAGCTTGAGAAACAGTTAGGTGATTGCGTGGAAAGCCTGAACGATGTTTAACACTTGAGAACAGAAAATAAGGCCTTGAAGGCCAAAGTTGGTAAGCTTGAAGATGCATTGAAGCGTAACAACATAATTATTAAGGGTCTAGAAGAAAGTAGTGATGAATCTTGGTCTGAAACTGAAAACAAGGTACGGAATTTCCTGGTAAACGATCTTGACATCACCGACGCTCTTGAACACAGTTAATTCCCAATCGAACGAGCTTCATGCTCAGGCAAAAAGGTGCCAGCTTCTTCAAGAATAATTTGTGTTCAATTCGGGAGATTTAAACATAAACAAACTGTGTTGCAGGCTTTCCGAGAAAATAGGAAGAGGCATGGATCTGTGCCAGGTGAGGGAACCTCCAAAGTTATCATCAAAGAAGACTACAGTCAGGATGTCCGAGAGAAACAACGAAAACTCTATCCCTACATAGAAAGGGCTAGAGAGCTTTGTGGTGCAAAATCGAAAATAATTTTACGGCATGACAAGTTGTTGATGGCAGATCATTCATTTTTGATGACACGAGAGACTGTATCAATGCTCTGGATAAAGACCCACCACCTACCTGGATGAATGGATAAGGGTGTGGCCCGGCCCAGAGTACAAACTTAACTGAAAATAATGACTTAATTAACATAATAACATGGAACATTTGTGGACTGAGGAAACCTATAAATGAATCTTTGAAATCTTTTTTGTGTAATTTTGATATTATTAGTTTGTGTGAAATTTTTTGTGACAATATTGACGAATTCTCTGATCTTCTCCCAGGCGATGAACATTTTTCACTAGTGAGAGACTACAGTGGAAAAGGTAGAAGATCAGGCGGTATTTGTGGTTATATTAAGAAAACAATTGCACACTTCTTTAAACGAATTACTCTCAATTTCGAGGATGGCATATATTTTTATGTAAGAAAGGCACCCGCGCACTTTCATAACTCTCTAATCATGTCTTGTGCTTACGTATCCCCTGAAAATTCCAAGTTTTACTTAGGTAAGCCAGAGCCAAATGGTGTTGAACAAATTAGGGTCAGTGACCAAATTTGCATGGGCATTTTGTAGCTTGGGCAGTTCGACTGGTACTTATGAGATATACAACGGCAAATCAGGAAGTACTTGTTCGATGTCCTCCCATTACGCAGACAGGCATTTAGCAGACACCTTAAAACGTGTTACATTCATTGTTTTCTATTTTATACAATAACGCACGTCGGCATCAGACTCGCTATTTGTCAGTAGTGTGTGTCGTGAAAGTTGTTCTGTATTCTAGGATCCTAATTTGTTTCAAAAAAATAATTCCCTTGTAATTTTTGTAGAAGATAATTTCTATTTTTCCCCGTCTGAAGCATAATCATCCATTTCAGAAATGACATCAAGAACATATTTTATTGCTTCAGAATCCATGGATACTGTTGAGTTGTGAGGTAAAGTCAAAGTGAAAGCCATCAGCACAGGCACATATATGACGTCATGTCACCTCTGCTCATTAACTGTCGGGTGTTTCCGTAATAAGCGGAAATACGAGTACGTTTTTTGTCTGTTTTGTTGCAAGTGCACAAACTTTTTGTTCAAGTTTCGGAAGGTGACTTTTAGAATTCCTTTACCTCTATGAAAAGTTTTTTTTCTCTAGTATTTACCTTTAAGCATGAAATATTCCTTTTGAAGAAAAGGTTCAGGGAAAAGGTTGACATCTTCGGTCAAAGGCTTTGTTCATAAATTTCATCTTTATACGACGTTTATGGTAGGATGTATGCATGCGCTCTATTAGAAAGACGTGCTATTGACATATGATTTGATGTAACTTTCTTGCTTTGTGACTTTTGGTTGTATGTGAGTAATAAACTGGTGACACTAATCAAACAAAACAAACACAAACAACAGAAGAGGATGAGCCTTGTATTATACTTTCGTAATATGTTATATGATAGCCATTCTTATCGTTTAAATTTGTAGTGTAGTATGGTAATCAGAATTGCTCTAGCATAGGCTATCCGTCCACTGACGTATTTCGACATAGCTGGAACACCACGTGTTCTTCTACTCGTTACACATTATATCTACAGTTTCGCATGACAGAGAAGCCGTCAAGACCGTGAGCGGGATTATTTTAAAGTATGTATGTATGTATGTATGTATGTATGTATGTATGTATGTATGTATGTATGTATGTATGTATGTATGTATGTATGTATGTATGTATGTATGTATGTATGTATGTGTGTGTGTGTGTGTGTGTATGTGTGTGTGTGTGTGTGTGTGTGTGTGTGTATGTGTGTGTGTATATGTGTGTGTGTGTGTGTGTGTATGTATGTATGTATGTTTATATGTTACAGACCGTGAGCAGGATTATTTTAAAGTATGTATGTATGTATGTGTGTGTGTGTGCTGTTTCAGACCGTGAGCAGGATTATTTTAAAGTATGTATGTATGTATGTATGTATGTATGTATGTATGTATGTATGTATGTATGTATGTATGTATGTATGTATGTATGTATGTATGTATGTATGTATGTATGTATGTATGTATGTATGTATGTATGTATGTATGTATGTATGTATGTTTACTGTTACAGACATGAGTAAGGGTGTCAATTCTGGTGCTGATACTTTCACGTTGCCGTTCTCATTGATTCTGGTCATCGTACAGTTATGGTTAACTTTCATTCATTGTTTGTGTATGGTCTGCACCGAGCAGAGTGTCCATTGGTTATTGGTATAGTGGGAAGTGGTAGAAGTCAGCTTGCAGTGGCCAGTACGTTCGATGCTTCACAATCTGTGATTAGCGGACGGTGGAACAGGTACAACAAATATGTTTACGATCGACCTCGCTCAAGGCGTAGCAGATCAAAGACAAGGGCACATGATCAATTGATCCGTAAACAGATTCTACGAAATCGAGCTAAGACGACGACGAACCGAATTGCTGCAAACCATGAGACTACCGGAGTAAGACGTCTAATTCAGGCGATTAGAAGTCAGCATGCAACTCATCTCCATGGCCACATGTTGTACAGCCCCTACAAACCGACAGGCTAACAGCAGTCAACAATGGTGTACACTACGTCGAAACTATGGTCACTGGTATTGAGTCAGGAGTCCCGTTGAGATTCCTCATGATATATATCCTTATAGTGAGGTTCCCCGGATAGTACTACCGGGACAACATGTATGTATCCTAGTTGTACTCTTGCAACAAGTGTGGGTCGACGGTTCAGAACGACAACCTCCGTGCTAACTGTGCACGAATCGTTAATCTTCACCTCCTTCCATCCATAATATGTTGTTGTCAGCAGAGAACCCAAACCTGTCCCTCATTGAACATTTCCATGATATGATAGGGAGACACGTGCGTCCACTTAGGATCCCCACACAGTGCCTCGTCCAGTGAATGAATATTTGACAAATCATGGCGGTATTACGCACTATTGATCCAAAAACATCAACTTCGAAGTTTCCCATTTCACCCTTTCTGGCCCTTTAAGATAGTCGGCGTACATAAAATATGCTAACATACTTCACTACTGATTGATATGTGTATCCACTGCATTCAGCAGTATCATTCAATGTTTACAGGAAACTAATGCATCTTACATTTTGGACTATTTGTAGTTACCTAGTACCTTCATTCTAAAGACTTCAAGTAAATTGCCTTTTTAAACTGTAACCTGATAGTGTGTGACCCTTATCGAACCAGTATATTTTTTCTCCTTGTCCACCTCCCTCCCTCACTTGCTCCCTAATGTTCGTTAACAATATACTCGTTGTTCTGTTTTGTTTAGCTGCGGAGTCCGGGCATCGGTATACCGGTCGCCAACAATAATCTCAGTGGCGTGACTACATTCCACAGGCTACTTGCAGTTCAGATTACCAAGCTTTTACTTTCATTTCCGGGTTGTAGTGGCAATCCTGCTTGAGGCACTGGCGTTACAATTGTCAAATCTTGATCAATTATCAACAGACCCATTGCTCGTTTGTCCTGCGATTGGCACTGGATCTGGAATGTCTGGTCCATGATCTATTGCCATCACTGTTTCAATCAGGAACTGAATAGAAATTTCACCATCATTAATGCCAACTGAATGTCCTATACACATGTGCATACCTTTGACATCAGTTGTCGTTTGATTACTAGCTGAGCACTCTCTTGTTACATCGAATATCAGATTGTCATATAGTGTTGCCGAGTGCTTTGATTATCTTATTGCAACGAGTTTTGAACGTGTTTCATAAGACTTGCGCTGAGGGAAATGAATCTGTAGTAGTGACAGCCACATCGATGTTTGATGGGATTTGTATAACCAAAACAGGTCCAACACAGTGCTTACGTTGTAACCATGAAAACTGTTTAGCTGTTACTCTGTTACCTATCAGTAATATATATGTTGGCTTTAATTGACTTCCATGGGGCTGATCTGTTAACCTTCGAAAGTATATCAAGTAGATATGCGCCTATCATATAAAAAGCGTTGATATTTTCGTGAAATGTCATTAGTTCCACAGTCAATCGGTCACTTCCCGGACTGACTACAAGCGCTCCGACCACTAAAGTAGTATATTTTCAAATTGCATAACAGGTGGTAATCACCACTGGCCAGGTATAGAGCATAAATGGATCTAGAAGATCGTATCCACATTTCCACAGATCCCCCACTGTAACATTACTGGTGTGAACTGGAACATTGTCCTGATGGAGAACAAAGTGTCCAGCTTCAAATTCTTTGACCCAATCGTTTCAGTAAGTGTTCACCGTTCATACATGAAGTTATAAATAGCCAAGGTGTATTATACCTGTCTCACCCAAACGAATGGGGTTAAACCTTCATTGTGGATCATTCATGCATGCAGTTAAACCACTGTGCAAATACAAATTTGTCTCATATATGCTTTAATATCCCGGTAACCATTCTCATTTCCTTGGGAACTACACATTGCTCAAGCCACAGGCTATCGCCTCATATCAGAATACTCTTTCACAACTGAGTGTCTCCTGGTATCATGAAATGCGAGTCGAAATTGTAAGTTTATTTCTTTCACTTTGGGTAAGCATCTTAGCGGAATATATTATGAATTAATCCCTCTACCAGTAGAATCTATACACACATGCTTTAGTAAAGCAACACCTTAATCCAAGACCCTTTTAACAAGAATTGATTCAAACAAGCGAGGGCGTAAAGCACACTGGAATAAAAGTAATACAACAGCAGTAAATGCTCTTCGGATTTCTGAACTGATTTAAAAGCTGACAGTACATCATACGTAGACAATTCGAGTAATATTTCTGGATTTAACCTGTCTGTGTGACTTTGTAAGGGGGTTATGGTGAAGTAACAGTATGGCAGTTTGAATCGGAGCTAAACCGTTCAAACTGAATTGGTATTGCTGGCCTTTTTCTCGTCCTGGCTTGTAGCTGTACCGGCAAATAACAAGCCAGAGAAGAGTACATGAATGAAGTAGTGATTTTAACGCATTTATTTAATGAATATTAAGAAAA